ATGTCCCAGCCAGACTGTGTGTCTGTGTCTCTCTCGTGCACGAGTGGGAGAGGGAAGGAAGGAACTATAAGAGGTCTGAGATGATGCAGCACACACACACTCCCCCCAGCCCAGCGATGCTTGGGTTGACCAGATGTTTCTGAGTCTGGAGCAAGCAGCCGGACCAGAGTCATAGAACTTTCTTAGTTGGTGAGGACTTAAAACATCTGCCTGAGGTCAGGAGGCAGTTTGCCTGCCTCGTGCAAAAGCTCAGGTGAAAGGCTGAGTTGAAGGTCTTTCTTCTCCCTGACTCCCCCAAGGTTTCCTCCTGGAAAACTCCGTGGTAGATTTGGCCAGGAGCTTGCCCTTCTGTAAATTGGAGAAACACACGCACCGTACACTATCCACAGGTATAGTCAAGTAGACTTGGGTAGAGAATACTATTTCCAAAGTAGTGTTTAGCTCACCTAGGGGGATGTGTTTGTATACACATTTGCATATACCCACACGAGGACATAAGCTGATTTTTTTACAGGACACAGAATTCTGTTCAATGCTGTTAAATACACCAATAGTTTAATCTCTTCTATTTTGTTGTTGTTGCTTGTTTGAAGAAAATCATGACATTCCAAGTTGACTTTTTTTAAAACAAAATTTAATTAAAATTTGAAATTCTGAACACCCTCAGCATTCCTCTAACCGGGGTCTCCTGACCTCTGTCCCTCTCCTTTTCTCCTGCTTCATGTTCGGGGCCTTCATGTAACTGCCTTCCTGGCTGGGCTCAGATGGGGGGCGAGAGTTAGTGTGGGTCAGGGGCCTGGGCACAGGAGGGGAAGCTGCCGAGTGCCATCATGTGTCATGCCAAGGCCAGATGGCCACCTCTCCCGGGTTTGGGGACAGCTTGGTTCTCTTTCTCCAGCTCACTGGTGGGTGAATACCACCTCCTGAGGTCCTTACCTCATGGATTCCAATCGATGGTCACTGGGGAAGCCCGACTCTGCAATCAGCTGGAGGGGTTTTTGGTGTTTTTTTTTGAAATAAAACTATAATATAAATTCTCCAATTAAATAAAATTATTTTAAGTTTTAGTGCTGAAAACGAGATGCTGAGAGTAGGAGATCATGTCTATTTCACAGAATTGGGGATGGTAGGATGGTGACATTTAACACGACTGCTCTCTTTTTTCAGATTATGGATATTTATCCTCTATTAGTATTTGTATCTTCAGTTCATTCCGCTTTAGGAAACAGAGCTGCCAATTTAAACAGGAGACAAAACAGAAGCAGACTATACATTGTAATAATGTCTCGCACGTACACACAAATGCCCAGGCAGGGTGTTTGGCAGAATCCCCGAGCGGGAAGGCGGTGAAGGCATCTGGTTTCCTTGGGACTGATTCCATTCCCTCGTCCCTTTGCCCTTGTGGCCACGACATGTGGCACGAGGGAAACAGGAGGCTTTGCCATCTCCATGGGGCAGTGTGAGCAGGAGCAGCAGAGGTCCGCAGGCCAGTGGCTTTTAAGGGGTAAGCCCTAGACTTGGTGTTTTTAAGATGTTCTTTCAACCTCAAAGTCTTACAAGGTGGCACCCCTAATCCAACCCGTACAAGCGCCCTCCCGTGGTCAGACATCAGCCTCTCCTCCATGGGGCAGCTGACCATTCTCGGTCCCTGGTGGAGTCACCTCCACACACACAGCAGGGACTTGGGGTGAGGCCGGAGCACGAGCCACCTGAAGTTTCCCTGCAGATAAGCTGGTGGAGCCACAGGCCCATCTGCCAGGCCCTGGCGAGGAGAACAGCAGGTCCTCGGCGACGGAGGGTCCTTTGCAAAGCGGTGTTGTCAGAGGGCGGTTTTTGAGCTTTCTATAAGCTATAGCTTTGTTTATTTCACCTGTTCACTTCCTGTATAATTTAAAGTCATTATGTAGCTGAGACACTTCTGTATTTCAATCATATTGTGAACGTTTTATTTTGCTAAATCTTGTGTCATGTGTAGGCTGTAATATGTGTACATTGTGTTTAAGAGAAAAAAAAATTGAAACCCACATGCCACCATTTTCCTGAATCAAATTCTACAGTGGAACGAGGGTAAACACTTCTCTTGTCTGGGCAGCTGGACTGGCGAACTGGGGGAACTACAAGGAGCTAGCACTTGAGACGCCTCCAGCCTCCTCCTGTCAGCATCCCTGTGCTTTCTGGAGCAGGTGGAAGGCTGGTGGGAGAAACCAGCAAGGACATCCACGTTCTTGTGCTGTATCAACTGGCCCCCAGCAGTCTGCTGGTCATTCCCATTCCTTTGCTCCCGTACTCCCTGTGCCCATCCGGTTGGGAAGCCATGATTTCTCCGAAAAATTCCAGGCCATGAGACCTGTAATTCAAGATCTCTTGGCCTCCCCCTGGCCATCTCTTCTGCCTCCGTCTCCAGGAAGCACACACCTAGGCTCTGTTTCTCAGGTCAGTGCTCCATCGGGCAGGGTGGATAGTACTGGGAGACCCACCCAGCCCCAGACCTAAACAGTGGTCAAGCTACAGCCCATGAGCACCATTTCCATGCCACCGTTCTTGAGCACTTCAAGACATAAATGATGTATAGGGGCAGCTGTGTCTCAGAGACACCAAGGGAAATGAGACCCTTCCAGCCCCAGCCCACCATCCTGTGCTTGACGGTGGCCAGTATGGGTTACCCTAAGATGACACCCAAGTGTTTTGCTCCTGGCTGCCTAAAATAAAAATGTCACCAAGACAGTTTTACACAAGAAAAAGACTTTGAAGATCTGATGGCAAAAGCAAAACAAAATGGAGACAAATAGGAGACACAGAGTTCAACAGCCACCTAAATGGCTCTTGAGAGGTATGAGAAGGGGAATAACTTAGAGACCAGGATTCATGCTCTGAGGGGCCTTGTAGACTTTCCTGCACCCCCACCTTCCCCCTTAGCCAGTCTGCTGTCCTGAGACCCAGAAGTGATGGAGAGACACCAACCAGAGGAAACCCTGTCTAGAAGGAATGTATTTGTTGCTAAATTTTGTAGCACTGTTTACAGTTTTCCTCCATGTTATTTATGAATTTTATATTCCGTGAATGTATATTGTCTTGTAATGTTGCATAATGTTCACTTTTTATAGTGTGTCCTTGATTCTAAACAGTAAAGTGGTTTTATTTCTATCACACACCTGCAGTCTCTGGCCTCCTTGTGTCCTGACGGCCGTCGGGGGTGACACAGACCACAGAGGGCCCTGGGAGCTGCTGTGTCCTGCCCGTCCCGCCTCCAGGCCCGTGCACACGCCCCTCACTCACTCACTCCCACAGCTCGGACCCGCCCTGCCCCAGTCCTTTCCCAGGCAGGGGGGACTTCTGGGGAGGCATCTTAGATTTCCTCCAGGATGCTAATCCAGCCCTGACCTTGTTCCCTGATTCTATGGCCAGAGATCTCCGTAGTTCTATGGAACCTGGGTCTTTATCTAATTACCCGTTAGTGGTACAGGTACTCCCAGACTGGAGCCCTGACTTGGCCTTCCCTGTTTTCTCCCCAAGAGGCTCAGCCGAGTGGAAGTGGGAAGGGGAAGGCTGTACACAGTGGTCCTTGATGCCAAATGCCTGCCTGCAGTTCCAAGTGTGGCTCAGCCTAGCCGGGGAATGCCAGGAACTCAGGAGGCCTCCCAACAGATGGCAAAGCCCTCCCAGAGCTTAGGGCTGGCTTGGCACCCTCAGTCGGTTTGGCTGGCTGTAGACCCTTCACCCAGCGTTCATCCCATTGTGCACGATGTTTCCGGGGATAGCTTTGCCCTTACTTTAAACCCATTCTTCGAGCACCTATCGTATGTCAGGCACAGCACACTGTACACATGATTTCATCAAACCTCAACAAACCCAGTGAGGTTGTTCCACTATCATCCATGGTTTTCAGTGATGGAAGCTGAGGCTCATGGAGGTTTATTCACTACCCAAGCTCTACCAGTAGTTAGGCAGAACTAGGACTCAAACTCAGGCTGGTTTGATGATAAACCCTCAGTTTTCTCCAGTGTTCACACTTTGCTGGAATATGCCTGGTTCCACATGCCCTTCTATTCCAGCCAGCACATCCAGGATTCTATGACTCTCACGGGATCAGATATAAGTGAAAGACAATCAATGGAGGGCTACTCCATCCGGTTAGACTGCTCCCACCTGGAGCCTGCACCGTACCCATCAGTGTCTCCAAACAGGACTGTCCAGCTCCGTAGCTGAGCTTGGAATTCTACACACAGGCTACTGTCTCCAGCTAGTATAATCAGAAAACCTATTGACTATCCTGTTTCCAAGGCACGTGTGGGGCTGCAGCCCTGTATTCCCTTGACTGCCTTAAGTAGACCACCAACCATGCAAGCAGGCACGTCACTGGCTGTTTCCAGCTGCCCGGGACACTTCCAACCAGCTTCTAGCTGTGGGATGGAGAGCTCTCCAACCCACTCAGAAAGACAGCAGCCGCTCTCACCCAGCTACCCGCCACATGGCAGGCTATACCACATACTCCAAGGTAAGCTCCAACCACTTCCCAGAGACAACCACAGATATATTCAAAAGTTAGAAATGTGAAGAGGACACACAAGGAAACCCCTTCAACAATCAATGCAAATCAAATATTACTGCTTTTATTCAAATAAGCGTAGAAACCAAGTCTGGCACAGGCTCAAATGAAATAACATCCTACATGTGAAACTTCTTTTACCTTTATGATCAATCAACGTTTGGCTCCAACATGCTAGTGCAAGTTGTCCCCTTGTTGGCTGAAAATTCCCGATGTCCCAAGGAATTCTGCCCACCTTTGTCATTCGTCCCACTGCCTCAGATTTCACCTGGAGAGGTGCCTCTGTCCTTAGCAAAGCCAGGCATTCCCACGAGATGTCGCGATTCTTCCTCAGAGCTTCAGCAGTCAGCGAGAAGCCCCTGAGCCCACCTCCTCCATTCAAATGGACCAAGAACAAAAACACCTGTGTTTGTTCCAGATCATGCCAATAAACAGAGTAAACAAGGGCACTCACCATTGGCTTATGGTTGGGGAAAAACGTTTGCTCCACAAGCGGGAACTTCTCAGGACCCAGGCAATGGAAGATCTTAATGAGCTGAGAAAACTAGGTCAGAAGAGGAGAGAACATTGGTCAACACTTGTTACCTAGAATGGCAGCACCTCCCCCTCGATCCCAGGCCTCGAGCCTCTGACTCTTCTGAGCGGTAGTAGCTACAGCAGCTGACCTCTGCCTCTGGGGGAAAGGCCAGAGCCCTTGGCTGGAGATCCATCCTCTCCATCATCTGGCTGCATCAGCCCCTTCATTCCTGCCAGGCCCACTGAGTTCAGCTCAATGACTTTTAGTGAGCATTTCCTACACCCTCGGCATTTCATACAGGCACAACCTGCTCTTGTTCATGCCATGTCCTCTGCCTGCCATTCCCTTCTTTCTGGAGAGGCATATTGCATAGCAGGTATGACATAGACTCTGGGTTCAAATTTTTGCTCCATAACTTACTATCTGAGTAGCCTGGAAAAGTGCCTTTAGGGGTCTGAGCTTCAGTTTCCTCATTTGCAAGTGGAGAAAACAAGAGATTCAAACTCACAGGATTGTTGTAAGGATTAAATATGCAATGTATTAGAGGGATTTAAGAATATTTAGGGGAACCCTGGCTGGTGTGGCTCAGTGGATTGAGCACTGGCCTATGAACCAAAGCGTTGCCGGTTCGATTCCCAATCAGAGCACATGCCTGGGTTGTGGGTCAGGTCCCCAGTAGGGGGCATGTGAGGGGCAACCACACATTGGTGTCTCTCTCCCTCTTTCTCCCTCCATTCCCCTTTCTCTAAAAATAAATAAATAAAATCTTTAAAAAAATGCCTCAATTTCTGAATATTGACTTTAAAAAAAGATTATTTAGAGGAGTAGAGTGGTGGTATTTTAGGAAAAGCCTCCCTTACAGGTAACATTTAAATGGAGACTCAGATAAATCAAGTGAATGACTGAGACTGAGGGATAGAAGGTCGGGGAACTAAAGTCTTGGGGGTTGCAAAGAGGGCTTCAAGTTCTGGTTTCAGCAGCTCACTAGCTATGTGACTCTGAGTGAGCTCCTGTGTTCTGAAACTGAGCTTCTTTTTCTGTACAATGGAGTAATAAGCCCACTTCACATGTTAACAATAGATTGACAACACAATTTTTGGGCAATTACTAAGCGCTCCATAAATAGTGCCTACTGTTAAAAACAATAATATGATAGAATATTAGTAAGCACAGTACAGTACTGCCTCTTACTACTAATATCATTATAAGATACCACTGTATCATAATATACTGCCATATAATATTCATTAGGCAATAATTACATGAAGGGAACTGGGACCCAAGTTGCTTATCCAGGTGCTTAAAAAAGACTCTTTTCATTTCCGAGGTCTCCACGCTGGGGAGGAGGCCCGTTTCAGGGCTGGGAGGTCCTGCCACTGCCCCCACTTGGTTCCAGGTCAGCCTGGCCCGTCACCTACCACCCAGGGCTTGCTGCAGAAGTTGTAGACGGAGTAGAGGGAGTTGACGGCAGGCAGCCCACCGTACTGGAGGCCGATGACCAGGCTGCGGTAGTCTTCGCCCAGGGCCATGCTGTAGGCGTGCTGGCGCACCAGGATGAAGTCCGGCTTGAAGGATCTGCCAAGAGAGGGGACGACAGCGGTGCTACCAAGCCATGCAGAGCTGAACACCAGGGCATCGGCCGCAGCCCACTGGGGAGAGCACTGGCCCGGCGCGGTCACTGCCCACGGGGAGCCCTCAGTTCAGAAGGGCGATGGGGTGGGGGACGTGTGGATGAGGAGGGTCAGTTCCAAGCATCAAGTCAAATGACTGACAACAACTCTCACTTTCTTGTGTTTCTTTCGTAGGCTGTTTCCTTTGTAAGTGGCAGGGCCGGGTCTGAGTAGCTTTGTGGCTCTGGTTCTCAACCCCCTGCACAGAATGGCTCCCCTCCCGCATATGCCAAGTGCGTCTTGTCCCTTTCAAGGAAACAGCAAGAGCGCGGATGCGATGGCCGAGCACGTGCCGAGGTCCCTCTGGGGACGCAGTCCTGAGTAGTGCTCACCAGCGCCCCGGGTGAGGTCAGGACTGTATATATCCCCGTTTTACAGACGGGAACACCACAGCTCACAGAGGTTATGCATTTCCCCCCGTTACAAAGCCAGGAAGCAGGACAGCCACGTTTGAACTCGGGCCATCTGGGTCCAGGTCCATACACTTTCCCTCCAGTGCAAGGCGCCAGGTGGATCGACACATTGTTTCACTCCTGCTGCCCAGGATCCATCTGTTTCTGGACTCCTCAAAGTCACACGAGAAAGTCAGCCTCACAGTAGGTGGCTCACACTCCGAATGCTATGACCCACTTAGCTCCTCCCGAGTCAGACACTTAGCCTCAAATAAACCGTCTCTTTAAAATAATTCAGAGGTAAATTAAAGTAACTCTCACAGGGAAAGGACTTGCCTCCACGGAAGACACGGTAAAGAATGTGCTACGTGTGCAGATGCTTCTCACATAGCCGTGGGCCTGGGGCCTGCTGTGCACCCCGCGGCCTGCTGTGCACCCCGGGGCCTGGCGCCATGGACCCAGGGGCATAGTAAGTACATGTTGAAGGAGTGATTGATATACATGAACATCACCTCCTTGTCCCCCTGGGAAATGGCAAGCATCTCCCCAGGCAAGGTGTAACTCATCCCCAGGTGGCCAGGTGGACTGTGACACACAGGTATGGCTTACGCTGCACTCATGGAAACAGTCAATCATGTCACTCTGGCTAGGACTGGGGGAGGGACGTGGAGCTGGAATTATTATGCCTATGCCCTTACTGCATTCTTAGAATGGAACCATTTTCCCATGTACTTTACATATGGGGAAACTGAGGCCTGTAGCAAGGCAGTAATGTGCACCAGGTGGTCCTGTAAGGTTACAATGGAGCTGAAAACTCCCTGTCCTCTAGTAACACTGTAGCTGGCATGACACAGCAGCCAGCAGGGCACAGTAACTTGAATGGCACTGCAGCTGGTTTGATGTGCACAGGGTCCTCCCTGACAGTCTAGGGTACGAGGACTTGCCCGGAATGCAGAGAAATTAGTGACTCCAACCAGGTGACCTGTGGCATGCAGTTCCTCCCCCATACCCAGCACCCCGACTTCTCTAGCCATGTCCTTCATGTCACTCAAACCTCTGAGGATGTAGCCCCCAGCTCTTACCAGGCCCTGACAGTGGGCCAAGCACCCTGGTGGGTGGCGGAGACCCAGAGATGAGTGGGACATGGCCCCTTTGTTCAGGAGACCCACAATCCAAGAGAAGCTGGGTGCAATACTAAAGGATAGGAATTTGCTAAGTGGACAAATGAGTAAGCATGTGAAGTAACAGAGGCACGTACAAGGTGCTAAGGTGGCCCCAGCGTGTACTCAACTCTTTCTGGGGAGGTGGGGGTGGATGAGTGTGTACTGGAAGGCGTGGGTCTTGAAAGAAAAGGAGGTCTTGCTGGTATTCCAGGTGGAAGGAACAGCACCTGCTACTGAATGGGTGGACCTTGTACTGGGGGGCGGAGTGGACTGTGCTGGTTTTGTTAAACATGCTTGATACCCACTTTTCTTTTTTTTTTTTTTTTAAACACAGCCCATGATAAAACCCTCTCTAGTCAGAGAACCACCTTCCCCTGGACAGGAACAGGTCCAGGGACTACATCTCTGATCTGAGGGGCCCATCAGAACCCTTCTTGAGTGCGGGGAGAGAGGCGTGGCCAGGTAAGCCACGGTGATCAAGAGCATTTTCTTGCTACATCTGTGACGTGGCCTCATCTGCGACAGAAGTGCCATGAGGAACAAAGACAAGGAGGGAGAATCCCTGAAGCCTGCTGAGGCTGACACCAGTGTCACTTTTATCTTCTGAAGCATCTGAGCTACTAAGCTCCCGTTTTCGCCCACACTAGTTGAATGGGGACTGTTGCTCCCCATCCCCATGGCGCTGACTGATACTGGGAGACAGTGGAAAAATGTACAGTTGTTACATGCAGGAGTGTAAAGTCTGATGAGGTGGCGGCAAGAGATGGGGTTGGGTAAAAAAAAAAAAACAAAGTCCCAACGAGGCTCCCGAATCCCTTCCTGCCCCGTGTCTCCACCGTCCCACGGGGCCCAAGCCCTGTGTCTTTCGTGCCTGGGCAAGAAGGCCTCCTTCAATCCCACACAAGTCGGCACGTCCTGGCTGCGGGCTCTGCCTGGGTTTTCTGGTTCTTTCGGCTTTAGACTTACTATGAGCTATGTTATTTGGGTTTCTGCCCCCAGGTCTTTCTCAGAAGTGGCTTTTGGCACTGGCGAGGAAATCAAGGACAACCCGCAATTAAATGGTGGAGACGGGACAGGTGATGCATTGCTGGGAGATTATTGGGGGCTCCAGGCAGCGTCAGGAGGCGGGGGGCCAAAGGCAGGGTGACTTTTAACCGTCGGAGAGGTGTAATAATTCCCTCCAGTAGGCGGAAGCCCGTGAGGACAAGACAAGATCTTGGCTGGGCTGTGCCTCAGACCTAAGTTAATCAGTAGAGAAGCCTCATTCTTCTTGGCCTCCTTGACTGCTGTTCTGTAACTGTCCCTTGTTCCTCAAGAGCCGAGTGGACAAAGGGAGATGATAATGCTCCTGTTTTGGTCACGTGCTGACCTGTCACACCCAGGCCTGACCCCAGCTCTGCCTGGGAGGGCTCCAGACTGTGTGACATGTGCATCTGACCCACCAGCAGAGAGACTGCAGGTTTCCTCTTCGCTGTCTCCATACTCCTCACAAGCCTTCCCCAAGCCCCTCTACCTCTGCAGATTCAATCTCGGTACGGATCTGGGAAGAGGAGGCTAAGAGAACTGAGTAGACCAGCAAGACCAGGTGTCCCGAGGAAAGGGGAGATCATAGAAACATTCTCTGTGCCCCTGAAGGCTCATGGACCACCGTGCGGCAGCAAGAACAGAACACAGGAGGTGCGCACACTGTGCGGACAGAAGGGTTTGAATGGGCCGTACGAAAGGACTGTGGGTGCAAGAAGTCAGCCCAGGCTGAAACAAAATTAGATGGATCTGGTGGTGAGTGGACAGCAGGATACTATAGTGGGGCCTGTGGGGCCCACAGGCAGCTGCCACCTGTGTGGTGTGGTGACGGTGGGAAAGGGGCCTGGGACGGACATCTGGGCTCTCTGACAAGCCCCGGGGCCCTCTTTATAAAGTACTAGGATGTTCGCAAAACACAGGCTTGAGTTGCTGGAGGAAGTAGCTTCCTTATCTCCCTGTTCTGTCTCAGAATCTCAGTCTGTTTATCGTGGTCTCTTCCTTCCTGTTCGTTCCGGAGAAGGCGTCCTCGCTATTTCCATTCCATTCCTCCATCACCCTGGGGATCCCACATGCTGTGGGTTGACTTGTGTCCTCCAAAAAGATATGTTGAAATCCTCAGCCCTGTTACCTGCGAGTGTGACCTTTGGTCTTCGCAGCCTTAATCAAGTTAAGACGAAGTCATACTGGAGTAGAGCAAACCCTAATCCAATGACTGGTGTATCTATAAGAAGTGGGACATTCGGACACAGACACGCGGAGAGGAAGAGAAGGACACCACGTGATGAAGGAGGTAAAGGACAGACGTGTCTACATGCCAAGGAACACCAAGGACTGCTGGCAACCATGAGGAGCCGGGAAGAGGCAAGAGAGGACCCCTCCCTAGATCCTTTAGAGAGAGCACAGCCCTGCAAACACCCCGATCTCAGACTTCCAGACTCCAGGACTGTAAGAGAAGAAGTTTCAGTTGTTTAAGTCACCCAGCCCGGGGTTCGTCATTGCAGCGGCCTCGGGAGACAAATACACTGCACACCCCCAATCCTTCCTCTTTCTGGCAGCTTTCGGAACCTTCTGGCTTCCTCTGTTGCTGCGTGTACCCTTCCACGGCCCCCTCCCCACTTCCCAAAACAACAAGCCCAACCCTAACAATAAGAAAACCTTAGCTTCAAGGTTGAAAATGAATCGCTAGTTAAGGAATGCCCATGTTTACAGGAAACATTTAACAAGTCAACACACGGATAACCGTGTGAAGATTCGTTGGGAAGCACGTTCACCTAAATGCTAACCGGGTTGTCTCTCAGGGTAGGATGGGAAATGGGTTGTTCTGTTCTTCTTCAGACTTTGTGTTACTGTGTGCATTTAAAAACAAAAAAAGAAAAGAAAAAAGCACAGGGTGTTTTTACCATCAGGAAAAAACAAGGAGGTTATGTTTGTTTTGGAAAAAATGATAAATGTGACAATGATGTACCATCATGGAAAATGCTTACGGGACAATTTCACGGGGCATAAAACAATAGAAAAGAGAATCTGTGTGATGACTCAAACGTTGTAAAAATGATGGTCCTGGAAGGAGAGATGGAAAATTGCTACTTTGTTAAGGTGGTGAGGCTGCAGGTGATTTCTCTTGTTTTGAAAATTTCCATTTCTGTTATAATGTGGTTTGGGGATCCATCAGCGCTTTTGGTTGGCACCCGTACATAAATGATGGGGAAGCAAGTCCCCTCTCCTTGGCCTGGCGGCCACAACCAGCCAATCCTCCGCTTCCTCCCATCGCTGCCCCTCTTGGACCAAGCCGTCCGTGTCAGCTGGCCCCAGTCCCCGTGCTCCCA